GGGGGGGACTGGGACGGTGGGAGGGCACACAGACATTAAACAGAACAAGTAAACCGTTAAAATAACTGACAATAAAAAATAAGGCAAAGAATGTCAAACCAGGTAAGGTGATAAACATAACGCAGAGAAATGGATAGCAGGAACTTTTTGCCCAGGAGGTGACATGGGTGCTGAGAGTTGAAGAGCGAACTGGAGCCAACCTTGCAAAATCTGGGCAAAGGGCACTGGAAGGTAGAGGGCCAGCGTTCCAAGATGGGGGGGGACGACTCAGCATGTTCAAAGGATAGACAAAGCTTTTCTTTGAAAGCCAGCTTCCCATGCTAAGAATTTGAGAGTACAGTATCATATCTCAACTGGGAAATTATGTCATAAACCAGGACCCTCTAAAGTTTCCTGACTTTACTTTAAAAATCATGCAAAATTTGCATTCTGGGTCATCATGTACTGGTTTAATTGGAAAATCCAAAGGGACAGGTTATTATCACGCTTGTTTTATTCATCGACATAGCCCCAGAATCTAGCCCAGTTCTTGACCTCTAGTAGGAGGATATTGGTCGAATCTGCAAGGAAGAAAGTAAAAGGAGGGAACAGGAAGGGAGGGAGGGAGGGAGGGAGGAGAAGGCAAAAAGAGAATATTGTTTTTATTTGTTTAGGCAAAATGAGAGCTCCCTGTCGGTAGACAATGACCACCTGTGCATCTTATCACACTCACCTGCACGCACAGCAGAGTGAACAGCACAGGCTTAGAACCATGGAAGGAAGCAGGGCAGCTTCTTTTTCCTGCGTGATCCAAGGGCAGAGCCTTTCTGCCCATTTAATTGTTACAGGAAAGAGTTTTTAGTTGGGCTCCAGGGACCACAAGACCACATACATTTCTTAAAATTAAAACTTGGGTCTTCGTTTCTGTATCCCACACATGGCTGGGCACGCAGTAGGCACTCAATAAATAATAGTTGCATAAATGACAAATAACTAGAATTTTGCTGTGGGCTACTTTAACTGTGCAAAATCAATGAGCCCCCACGGGCCTCAGTTTCCTCACACCTACTAAATAAAGCACAGAATAGACGGTATCTAAAATCCCTGTCATCTCTAAACTTCAGAGAGTCCTCAAAGGGCAGCCTGACATGAGCTGGAGGTTGGACCTCAAACCTATAAATCTCTTTAGCTTGGTGTGAAATTGGATTTTTAGAAAGAAATAGACAATCCACTATGAATTCCTTTGAAGAAGGGGTCCTAAGAGAGGGAAAGGAATGGATAGTATCTCAGAATTAACTTACACTGAGTCAAAATTGCAAACCTGAATTTGGCATACTCGTGATAAATTTCTTTTTACTTTGGTTTCTAGGGGACTACTGGAAACATCTATGAACCTGTTTGGGAAGTGTATTTTAAGTAATTTCCCTAACTTGTCATTACAGGTTATGTTTGTGCAACCACCCTTGAACCTGCTGTGTCCATTGCTGATCCTGGTGAACGAACATTATCCAGTGAAAGTGGTAATAGATTTCCAGCCATTATTATCATATCCATATATTTAATAAGTACCTATCTGTGTAGTTTTCTGTGATAAATGAACTAAACTGAAACTAAAGCCAAAATGCCAAAAAGAAACACCCCAGGGCTATCTCTGGGTCTAGGGATTGTGGGTAGCTTTTTTCCCCTTGCTTTTTAGTACTTTCTAAGTTTTCTGCAAAGAGAATCATAACTTGCAATCAGGAAAAATTTTAAATTTTTTTTACAAGTGAACTGAACAAACACAATCGCTGCTTTCTAAGAGGTCTCCTTCATTAAGCAAGGCCAGCAAACATCAGTGGAGGAAAACCAAGACACCAGCATTCATTTCCTTGCGGTTTACTGCTACTCCAACAGCCTTGGTTATGGTGTTTGCTGAACTGATTTCAGGGATCTGGTAGAGAAAAGAGCAGCAATTGATGATAAACATGTGATAACCTATCAGTCATAATGAACCCATCTTCTGTTTTTTATATGGCTCGCTCCTGTTACGATACCCCCAAGTCCCCAAGAGCCATAGAATATCCAGTAGCTAAGAGCATCGGAAAAGTGGCCAGTATAGAGCCTGAGGACGCTTCATTCACTGACAGACTTCTCTCACATCGTGGGAGTCAGGCAGTGTGCAGGCCCATCCCTGTCTCAGAAAAGAAAATGAGTCCAAAGGCATTGTAACCCCAAATCATAAAATGTGGTAGCTCTTCTCAGTCCCCCCGCACCACACCAACCCCCAGTGCACAGGGCAGGAGGAGGGGTCCGGCCTTGGTGGTGTGGGGGCCTGGTCCCCTTGACATTTTAGATCAGGCTCCAACTCAGCAGTTTGCCTTGAAGGTCCAAAGTTAAAGGTCCGAGTTTCTCTCCACCAAGGTGCGCATAAGCCTACAGAGGGGTTCTTAAATTTAATCAATGAATCAGGCAGAAGAAGGAAAACAAATGCTCTTGACTCAGGGAAGAGAAGTTTAGATCTCTGGGAGTAAATGAGAAAGAAGTTGAAGGTTTTTTGCTGGACTGTTTCCTCCAGTCCAATCTGAAAAGATCTTTTCATGGGTCACATTCTGCCTTTGTTCTCTTAAGCTCATGTCACCATAACTTGTGACAGTTTCCATTCCAGTAACAGATTTTCCACTCTACCTCTGTACCACCTATGGCCTTAGGCACTGTAAATCCAGTGATACAAACGTTTATCCAGTGATAGAGAAAAGGCGTTCTGGACTTTGAAAAAACTGTATGTAAAGAGAGGGCATGGCATATATTTTGTTTTTACATCTTCATTCCAGGAAAATGAGAATTTGATGTTATTAAATAGTTCTTACTGAATACTTTCTATGTACCAGGCACCGTGCTAAGCCCTTTACCTAGATTATTTCATTTTATCTTGACAACCTCAGTATGGAGTAGGTATTATCCCCATTGCACAGATGAAAAAACAGGCTCGAAAAGTTTTAAAATACAATCAGTGAGCACTGAAGCTGGATGCAAACCCAGGAGGTTTGGCTGTAGAGCCCTCGCCCTTAACCAACATGATCTTCTTCCTTCCGCAGAAGAGAATAACAGTCCTTCCCCACTCTGCTCTCCAGAAATCAGCACTGTTGACATTTTTGTGCAAATCTTTCAGATATTTTTTCCAGATATGTTTATAAGTATACACTTAAAATTACTCTGTGTAATATTCTGAAACCTTCCTTTTCCTCACTCAAAGAGCATTTTTTTTCCATATTAAGAAACACACTTGTAAAACATTTTAATGGCTTCATATATTACATTTGATGCATAAACCATGATTTAGTTAACCTCTGCCATGCTTTTGAATATACAGGTTGTTTCTACTTTGTGTTATTTTAAACATGCTATGATAGACATCCTTGTAGACTCACATTTCCATGTCAGATTATGCACATTTTAAAGGTTTTGATGAATATTGCCAAATTTGCTTCCCCAAAAGTTATCCCAATATATATACCCAGCAATAAATTTTGAAAGCATCTTCCTCCATACCCTCTTGCCTAATTGTGCACCAGAAGCTTTTTTATCCTTGCCAATAGGTTAGGTGTATTTATGTTTAAATTTTTATGTCCTTGATTACTAGTGAAAGTCAACCATTTTTCCATGTTATTTTTTTAACAGGCTTGCTAAGGTGTAATTTGCGTGCAATGGAATTCACTCATTTCAGGTGGGGGGACTCAGGGCTGGGATTAGGGTGAGCAAATGAGGAACTCATCTCAGGCTCCAAATTTAATGAGCTGCTCAAACCTTAGTCAACAAGATAAACATTTTCGTGCAATATTTTTTAAAAACTCAAAATTAACTCCAAAAAAAATCAATGGTGAATAAAATACCAAAATTTTAAAGACAGTCGGGATCCATCAGTCATGGGGGAGGTGAATAGCACTTGGGAACCCAGTGGAGAACTTGTAGTGTTTGCCCCCAAACCCAGTTCCCCTGGTTCTGTGAGACCAGCAAAGTCTCTGACAAACTTCACAGCCTCTTAGGCCCCACTCACAAATAGATAAATGTCTCCAGAGGAAAGCTGGTGGCCAACGTGGAGCTCATCTCTGCACACTTCCCCTCCCCGCCTCGAGGGCCTGCTATCCTGGTAGCCTCTGTCCCCCCACACGCGTTGGATTTGCTCGGCTTCCCTACTTGCTCTGACCCGGAGGCTCGGTCTGCAACGAGCCGGTCCCCCCGACTGGGGGCTAGAAATCTTTATTTCTTCAGATGAGCTGCAGAATCCATTGGGAAAGTTGTCCTTACATATCATCAAAATATTCCCAATGTTCCTTGGTTAGAACAGAGTTAAATGAATAGATAAGCTCACAGAAAATAAAGCATTTTATAATAGTAAATCTTTCAATAGGGAATAAGTCATGTTTTCCCATTGAGTCATATCTTCTTTTATGTTCTCTGAAGAATTTGAAACAAATCCCCTCAAAAAATTACCAAAGCAAACGTCAGATACATTTTGTGTCTTTTCTTAAGAGGTATTTTACATATTTTTTTTGTCTTAATTAAGACACGTTTCATTATATTTTCAAACTGCTTATTGATGGCCTAGTCTGAATCGATTGCTTTGTGTTAATTCATTTTTAAGGGACATTATTAATGCTTATTTTGATATAATAGCTAATTTTTTTTTAGTTTCCAAATTAAGCAATCACATTGCTTATAAAAATAATAATTTTGTTTCTTTGCTTAAAATAAATATTTATAGCCACTTCTTTTCTTATCTATTGCATTTATTATAACTTCTAAAACAATGTCATATAATGATTATGTCTGCTGCTTTCAGTAAATAATCCATTTCATGTTAAGAAATTGCCCTCTAGTCCTAAACAATATTAAAAGAATATTCTACAATAGCCAAGTGGCTTATGCCAGGATGGGCGCAGTGCAGTATTATCATGTTCATTGATATCAATCATCATTACAACATATTAAAAAATAAAAATACAGTGATATCAAGAGAAACTAATAAGATTAACAGACATTCCTAAAGAAAAGGAAACAGAAGTTTAAAAATTATTCCTGTTATAGTCAGTATAATAGATATTTTCTCTCATGATAACTGTCAGGCAATTTATTATTACATCATTAAGCTTTGGGAGACAGCATTCAATGTTTCAACTATGATGTAAGAAATGTATTTTATGGAATTCTTTTCATATTGGACTGCATTTACTATTTGTTTTAAGACCTTTATATATGTGTTATACATAAAATTTTTCTGCAATTTATTTGTGTGTATACACATGTGCATTGGCTACCAAATAAAATTTTCCCCGTTTTATTTTTTTAATGTATTATTCACTACTACAGGCCAATTTTAAGCATGGAAGATATCTTGAAGAAGTAGCCATCTATTCCAATTATAGTAGGAGAGGTGTTTTTTTAAACAAAAATAGGTGAAAAAATATTTTCTTTGTGTATGCATGAGTATGATACACTATATTACTGTATTTCTTTTCCCCAAATTTTTATTTTGGAAAATTTTAAACCCATGGGGGAAAAAATCAAAGGAGACTAGGCTCAAATGTTATCGCACCAAATAATCCATTAGAAAGTGCAATTGTTCTAAATTTTAAATGGCTATTTTAGCTTAATAAAACCCTTTCAAAAGTGAAAAATGGGTTACAAGACAGATGGACATATTATTACAACTTGACCTAGACTGAGTTTTTCAAGCCTTTTGGTTCAAGAGCAAAACTGATTGTTTCCCTTAAAATACTGCTTCACAGCAACAGCCTTCTCCAAAGGCTACGTGGAACAGGCAAGATTCCCACTCATACATGCTTTTGGGATAACACAGTATGGTTCAGCAGAAAAAAGCATTGATTGCAAATCCGCGGATGTGAGTTTTTGTCCCAGTTTTACCACAAATTAGCTATGCAGAACTTCCACAAATAAATTTGTCGATCAGTTCCATGGTCCTTACAATGCCAAAAACTGTAACGCTGAGAAAATTTAGTTTTCTGACTTGGAAACTATTTAAGGCATTTCACAGGCAGGGTGTATCCTTGTCAGAGTTTGCTTTTGCAAGATAAGACTTCTATCGACTGCAAGTCAGACGGGTGCCAGAGCCAAGCCAGCAGCTGTGTGGGCTGACTTATCACTTTGTGACAGGAGCCCAGCGACTGGAAGTTTTGTCATAGAGCAAAACTGCAGGGCATTAGTCCAACATTGCGTTTTACTGTTTTTCTTTCTAATAACATTCCATGTTAGAAGTAGCCACTGCTGGGGAAACCGTGTCGTTCGATGGATATAGAGCACAGAGCAGAATGTTAGGAGGCTGGACCTCTGTTCCCAATTGTATCCCGACCGGTGCTCTGGGCCCACAAGCTGCCCACCGCCTTGGCACAAGAGGAGCAGTGGCAGGGGCCTCTCGCGCCTCCTCCCCCAACACACACACCTCTCAGGCTGGCAGAGGGTTCCTGAGCAGCTACCAGGTCAAGGCTAAGGGACAAAAGAGGTGAATGTTTTGGAAGAATTCAGCTGTTATGCAAGTGTAAACTGTGAGATGATACTACTATGCAAATTTGGAATAGCTCATATTCTGGGTGGCATATTTATTCATTCATTTATTCTACCTTCCCAAACTTAAAATTATGGCATTCAGTTCAGGTCACAAATATGTACTTTGTACAAAGCACCATAGCAAATGCCATTTCAGTGTCTAGGAAATGAAAAAAAAATTTTTTTTTTAACCAGGAGTCTGAGGCCTTGCCAAACTTACCCTTCTATTTTATTTTGCACTAATTTTCCACTTGAACATTAAACTAGTGTCAACCTGAGAGGTTGCCCACCTTGGCCTGCTCACTGCTCTCGGCCTCGGCAGGAACGCACACGTCCTCTCTTTCTCCCTGTGTTAGCCCAGGCCCTTTCTTTACCTTAATTCCCCCTCCTCCGCATTTCTGCTTAAACTCTACCCTCCCTTCCAGGTCCAGCCACTGCTTTATTGCAAGTAAGCATGGGGTTTTTCAGAGCCCAGTCCAGCTAAGGAAAGATGCATTGTTGTCCCAAATCCTATTTGCTGCTGAGTAGCTAGATGCTAGACACATCTTCCATAAGACCTCAAGGGCAACATACCTATCTAGGAGAGAAAGGTGGCATTTTTCAGGTCTAGTCTGGATGTGTTCTTGTTAGAAGAGGTGAAGGAGGTAAGAAAATGACCCACATGTCAATAGTGCTAGAGTAGAAAACAGTTTCTCTTAGTAGCAAGAGGACACTGAGAGCTAAGAGATATGATGTAAATAGTACAATAAATTGGTGTGAAAAAATTGTCAAAATGAAAACTACCTAATATTATTAAAATCTAGCCCTTAGGATGTCCAGGACTCTCAAGAAATTTACTTGTCTTGTTTTGTGTGCAATGCACCCTGGTGTTTATAAATTAGTAAGCTAAAACTTCAAAGAAACCTTGTTTACAAGATCTCAACCAGGCAGAGATCTGGAAGGCGGGACTAATATTGGAAGTCAGCAGAATCAGGTCTCCATTTCTGTCCTTACCAGCTGTTAACCTGAGCTAAACATTTCATTTTGATGATATCAGATTTCTTATCTGTACTACAAGGAAGTTGGATTAAATGTTCTAAGTGACTTTGCAATATAAAATGTAGGAGGACATTCTAAATGAAATAGGACAATATTTAAATTGATCGTTAATCCCAAAAAAATGCGAACAGACTTGTTGAAAGCTGATTTGGCTAGAGAGTGCCTGGAGCACAAGAGAGGGCGGGGGAAGGAAGGAGGGAAGGAGGGAAGGAGGGAAGGAGGGAAGGAAGGAAGG